GTGGTCTGGGGTCGGGCCCCATGGGAAAGAGAGCGGTGGATTCGATATGGGGCAGCGCAACAAGGGTGAATGAGGAAGAGGAGGTTGATAAGGATGTGAATGTGGACAGTGAGGTGTTAGGCGTGAGAAGTGATGAGAAGTGATGATGATGACGATGACGATGACGATGACGATGACGATGATGATGATGATGATGATGTTGTTGTTGATGATGCTGATGCTGATGCTGATGCTGATGATGATGATGATGATGATGATGATGATGGTGATGATGATGATGATGATGATGATGATGATGGGGGGGGAGGAGGAGGAGGAGGAGGAGGAGGAGAAGGAGTAGGATGGAGATAATGACGATGAGAACAAGAAATTATCCCAGTGCGACCCTACCTAGGAGTTGGAGCCTCTAGGAAAGCAACATTAGTAGGAGCGGTAAACGCCTTCCTCCTCCTTCTCCTCATCGTCGTAGTTGTAGCAGTAGCGGCAGTAGTAGTAGTAGTAGTAGTAGTAGTAGTAGTAGTGGTGGTGGTGGTGGTAGTAGTAGTAGTAGTAGTAGTGGTAGTGGTAGTAGTAGCAGTAGTAGTAGTAGTAGTAGTAGTAGTAGTAGTAGTAGTAGTAGTAGTAGTAGTAGTAGTAGTAGTAGTAGTAGTAGTAGTAGTAGTAGTAGTAGTAGTAGTAGTAGTAGTAGTAGTAGTAGTAGTAGTAGTAGTAGTAGTAGTAGTAGTAGTAGTAGTAGTAGTAGTAGTAGTAGTAGTAGTAGTAGTAGTAGTAGTAGTAGTAGTAGTAGAAGTAGAAGTAGAAGTATAAGTAGAAGTAGTAGTAGTAGTAGTAGTAGTAGTAGTAGGGCCAGAACCGCCGACGCCACGCCGTAAGTGAAGCAGCAGCAGAAGCAGGCAGCAAGTCGCCGAGACAGCAGCAAAAGCAAGCAGGCACGGAGGTGAGGGCGGGGCATTGGGGAGGTCTTTACATCAATATTTATATCTACACCTACATCTACATCGACACCAACATCTACATCTATACATCTCTACATCTACATCTACATACATCTACATACATCTACATCTACATCTACATACATCTACATCTACATCTACATCTACATCTACATCTACATCTACATCTACATCTACATCTACATCTACATCTACATCTACATCTACATCTACATCTACATCTACATCTACATCTACATCTACATCTACATCTACATCTACATCTACATCTACATCTACATCTACATCTACATCTACATCTACATCTACATCTACATCTACATCTACATCTACATCTACATCTACATCTACATCTACATCTACATCTACATCTACATCTACATCTACATCTACATCTACATCTACATCTACATCTACATCTACATCTACATCTACATCTACATCTACATCTACATCTACATCTACATCTACATCTACATCTACATCTACATCTACATCTACATCTACATCTACATCTACATCTACATCTACATCTACATCTACATCTACATCTACATCTACATCTACATCTACATCTACATCTACATCTACATCTACATCTACATCTACATCTACATCTACATCTACATCTACATCTACATCTACATCTACATCTACATCTACATCTACATCTACATCTACATCTACATCTACATCTACATCTACATCTACATCTACATCTACATCTACATCATCTACATCGACACCTACAACTACATCTACACCTACATCCACATCCACATATACGCTATGCTATGTTGCGCTATGCTATGTTGCGCTATGCTATGTTGCGCTATGCTATGCTATGTTATGCTATGCCATGCTATGCTATTCTATGCTATTGTATGCTATGATATACCATGCTATGCTATGTTATGCTATGCTATGATTTTGTTTTGCCTTCGCTTTTGCCTTCGCTTTTGCCTTTGCTTTTGCTTTTGCTTGGCACCCAGGGAGCGCAACTGAGGGAACCGCGCGTTTGCTTTTACCTTTGTTGTTGGTTTTGCTTGGCTCCCAGGGGACTGGGGGAACCGCCCAGGGCGGTTTGCACTGCCCGGCCCCTTTAAGCCAAGCGAGTAAGAACCCTTCTAGGCAGAGCCTAGGTAGGGAACAGAGCATGGATGATCATGATATCACTCTTCTTATGACCAGCTTTAGGATCTGTACTGTGTGCTTAGATAGTTTTTCTGTTCTTGGCACGATTGCTGCGTAATGGCTCTATCGGCGGTTGTCAGCCACTGTAGTAGATAGGGTCGCGCAGCTACTTCTCTTGAGCTGGGCGCGGTGTATACGACGTGAAACAGCTAAGCGGAAGAGGGGGGAGGAGGGAGGGGGCAAGATGAAGGAGGCAGGAGGTTGACGGGAAGGGTACGAAAGAGCGAGTGATATACGTCCGTGACCGGCGCGTGGCTCCGAAACACATATGTTCAGTAGCAGCGGTGCCTGTGCGCCTTCGCTGTGCACCGCAGAGACGAAACTGGAAGGTTCTGTGGACCCAGGGTCTGAATGTGTGACAGCATAGTGTGTGCAGCACCGATCTACCACTGGACTGTTCAGTCGAGGCTGGGCATGGGGCCGAGCCAGGATATCGGAGGTGATCGGAGGGACTTAGCTGGAGACAGTCGGGATCAGGGCCGTGCACGGCCGAACAGAGGACCTCGGCGGCAGTCAGGGCACGAGCCAAGACCGGGGCAAACTCAGCGAAATCGGCGGCGGCCAGGGCACCTTGCCGAGCCAGGGACAGCTTGGGAAGTGGCCGAGTGGGGGAAGTCGGCGTGAGCCAGGGCATGGGACCCAGCCAAGGACCGCAGGACGGTCTACGGCAGGGCTGAGAGAAGGGAAGCGATGGCAGCTTGGGAGCTGGACCGACCCGCAGGCATTCGAGGACAGGGCCGAACGAAAAACATCAATACAAGCCAAGGGACGGGAACCGGGCCGGGACAGTGAGGGACAGGATCGAGCAAAGGAAATTAGCCATAATTACAGCACAGGAACGGCGGGCGAAAGGGCGTGCCAGTGAAGCCGGGGAGAACCATACCACCGAGGCGAGCAGGGAACAGTCGGGGACAGGCCGGAGCAAAGGATATCGGCGGCAGCCAAAGTAGAAATCTGAGGTGGGGACACTCGGGGACAGCGAAGAAAAACAGGGTACGGGACCAAGACCTGAGACAGTCGCGCCGTGTTACCATGGCGTCTTCTGTGTCAGCCAGTTGCGGGTAACATGTGAATCGGTTGTGCGTCCCAATCGAGTGCGTTGCGAATCAGAGTTCAAATTATCTGTGAATAAGTCTTGCTTAATTCCCAATGCAATCTGAGGTAGTTGCGAGCGGGTTGTGATTGAACGCTGCCTGGATTTTGATATATTACGACCCCTTTGTCGTGGTGTAGTTCCACGTGATCATGTTGCGGTATCGCGGTGTCGTGGAGTAGCGATGGCGTGGTCTCGTCGTACCATGTGTCGTGTTTCCGCTCGGTGGGTCTTTTTTTGTTGAATCACTGGGTAATCAATAGAGAATCACTTGTGAAGTAGTTGTGGATCCATTGTGCATGGACTGCGAATCAACCGTGAACCAGCCGCGAATCGCGGCCGAGCCGATTTTCAGTAAAATGTGAACCAGCTCAGAATTAACAGTGAATCAAGTTTGGCTCATCTGCACGTGCCGTCGTCTTGTGGTGGTTCAGTTGTGAATCCCTCGTGGGCCTGCTGTGAGACGTCTGTTGTGGACATCTGCAGCAACTGTGTTCTCATTGTGAACGCAGTGTGGGCCCTAGTGTGGATTCCGTCTCTGGTGCAGAATGTGTAGGTCAAATGTGATTCATCGCTTCGCCTGTTCCGCCGGTTCATGTTGCACCACTGCTACTACATGTTTGTGTGCCCATGGCGGGCGAGGAGGAGGATAGGGGACTCGCTAGGGGAGGAGGAGGAGGAGGAGGAGGAGGAGGAGGAGGAGGAGGAGGAGGAGGAGGAGGACGAAGAGGAGGAGGACGAGGAGGAGGAGGAAGAGGAGGAGAAGGAGGAGGAGGAGGAGGAGGAGGCCTCTCGACGGCTTCTTGGGCACTGGGGACCAAACTGGGTCGCGGATAAGACGCCTCTTTGGAAGCCTTCTTGGCGTCTCCAGGAAGGCCTCTCGGAGGCCTCCTGGCGGCATTTTGGGACTTCCTGAGCCTGAGGCGTCCTGGGGGCCCCCGTGGGGCATCCTTTTGGGCTTCTGGGGGCCTCTTCAGGCCTTCTTGGGGGCCTGCTGGCGGTCTGGGTGGGCCAAACAAAATCCGGGGAAGGTTTGATATGTCTGTTCGGGTTCCTCCTTTGGGGGCCCTCACGGGAGCCTCTGGAGTTCTTTGGGGATGCCTTTTTGGCCGTCTCGGGGCCCTCGGGGGCCGTCTTGGGGCCGTCCTGGTAGCGTTTTGGGCTGACTTGGGGCGATCTTGGAAGTCTCTTGGGCCGTCCTGCGCTGTTGGAAGCACGGCAAAATCTGTCAACAACCAGAGCAAAATCAATCATTTGGACGTCTTCGAGCCTTATTGGAGCCCTCTTGGGGCGTCTTGGGCGACTCTTGGGCCGTCTCGAGACCAACTTGGGCCATCTTGGAACGCTCTTGGCCGTCAAGGCATCGGGGAGGCTTCTTAGGCCGTCTTGAGCTGACGGAAGCCCGAGAAGGCGAGCATGCGCAAGCCATTCCAGCATCCAAGGGAACTCACCGATTTTGGATGTTCCCTCCCCCGTTGGAGGTCCTCTTGTGACCACTGTGGCCCCTCTTGGGGCCATCATGGGCCGTCTTGAGCCCATACTCGGCCGCCTTACGGCCATCATGGGCCTTTTTTGAGGCATCATGGGCCGGCCATCTTGGTTGGTGTCCTTTGTGGCGTACGTGAACCACCCTTGCATCTCGGGACGAGGATTCTTTGTTATTGACGAGGGATCGTGGCCCCAGGAATGCGGACAAAGTTTCACCCGAACATCCTGTGGTGTTGGGTTCTCGGTTTGAAGAGACGGCGCCATGCGTC